TACTCTTGTCCTCCCGTCATTGCTGCTTGTTCTTTTATACGGATTGACTAAATGGAATTCGTTGATCACCTATACTTACTTCAAACTGTATTCAACGTGTATGAATATGAGTTTCCTCCCATTAGAAACGAAAGGATCCATATGAAGTTGATGATAAATCTACAATAAGACCAAATTTTGCATTATGACGGCAAAAAAAGGTCGTAGAAGATCGACGAGGATTTATTGTGATGAAGACTTAGTGCAATATCAAGAAAAAACCAGACAACTAAAGCTATGCAATATTTGTAGGAATATTGGACACTCAAAGAACAAATTTTCTAATTGATCATGCTCTTGTATCAATTAATTTATATATCATCGAATCGAATATAATGTTTAAGTTTGTTTAAATTATTAATTAAGTTTTAATTATTAATTTATTTAAGTTATCCTTCAACAATATGATTTTTACCCCGCCCCGACCATACCTTTGAAGCCATGTTAGCATCTTCTTAATATATAAAACCAAACTTTGGAACCATGTTGAACGCGATTTTTACCCCGCTTAAAATGTCTTGTATGTGTCGATATTATACTCAATTGAAAGATAAGTTACAATACTACTCCTCTAATATAATAAACTACGAAAATTTTCATATTAAATACCCAAAAAACCCTCGAATATGTTATCAAACTATTTTAGTATTTTCTTCATGCATAAACCAAGCTTTGGAAGCATTTTCAACGTGATTTTTAATCCGCTTACAATGTTCCGTATGTCTCGATATTGGCCTCAACTAAAAGATAAATACCAATAGTATGCTTGTAATCTTATAAATTACAAAAATTTGAGATTAAATTCCCAAAAATACCACTCGAACATGCCTATAGAACTTGCATATTTGGGTTGGAACAACATACCCAGCGTCTTGTAAGACGTGAGATATATTGAATACCTATCGAATAAACTACTCGTGAAGATTCAATGTCTCGTTGACCTCGCATCTTGCAGAGCGCGAGGAATTAAATGTCATTCTATGAAAAGTGCATCCATGTATGACGTAACTCACGCCTGGTGAGAAGCGAGTAATTACACCCCATTTCGTAGGACGCGAGGTAATTCGATATGTGCAGTTTGGGGGCATCCATCTAAATAATATTGAGAGGGGTTGGATGTTTAAAAAAGTATTTAATGACGGTTATTGATTTAATAATGCCCTTAAAATACAACGTCTTAATATAAGAGATTAGTAATTACCCTAAATTAATAAAAAAATAACATAGGAAGGGATTAGATATATGATGGAGAAGATGTGACAATATAAGAAATAATAGCATTATTTTATTAACAATTATGATATTTAAAAATAATAAACTCACATTTAATTTAAAATTTAAGAAATTAATTAAATATATATTTCTTTATTATAAATACAATAAATTTAATAATTAAATTATTATCAATCAATAGTGTAAATAAAATTTTATAATAAATTAAAAGTTTTATATTAGCCTGACTAGTTAGAAAATAGTATTTGTTTTAAAAAGAAAATTTAATTACTATTGAACAATCATAATTATTTGCACTCATAAATTTTATAAAGAGTAATATTTTACTTTATTATTAAAATAGCTTAATAAATTCAATTATTAAAAACTAAAGGGTTAACTAAATGAAAAATTACTTACGTTTATGTTTTGTCAACTTTTGGTTATTGATTTTAAAAAAAAATAATATACGATCATTTTTATTTAATTAAGATATATTCACCACGAGTTAACTGCAATTAACAGTAGTTAAATATTTTAATATAATCACACATTTGGTCTCTGTTATTTACATATTCTCTCAATTTAGTCTTATTTTTAATAAATTAAAATAAATTCAATCTTCCAATCAAATGATGTCACTTGTCATGCCACGTAGGGGGAGTGTTCGATCGAGCCGAGTCGAGTAAAAAAATGTGAGTTATTCGAGTTAACGAGTCTTATTTTACAACTCGAAATTGAATTAAAATTTAGTCGAGTCGAGTAAATTTGTGAGTTTTATTTTATTTTAATTATAAATATTTATAATATTATGATATTATTTGCTTCCAATTTAAATGATCTTTTATAAACATATATAATACATGTGTATTTCTTCATATTTTTTTCATATGTGAAAATCAATCTACTAATTATTAAAATTTTCGAGTTATTTGAGATCTATTTTATGACTCGATTTGAACTTGAATTTTTTTAGTCGAGTCGAGTTTATGAAATTACAACTCGAAGTTAATTCGAGCCAAGTTTTCAAGAGTTGAGTTGAAAAAATTGGTTCTTCTAGTCGAGTCGAATTTTGCTCACCCCTAAAGCCACGTGTCACCATTCAATTGGAAGATTAACTTTATTTTAATTTAATATACTTATTTTCACAAATCAAATAGTGACATGTGTCACCATTTGGTTGAAATTAAACACAAGAAACCAAATTGGGGGAATATTTTATTTAAAAGTATTTTATTTTTATTTTCATTTAAAAATATATATTTTATGTTAAAATTTATTTAAAAATATAACTAAATTGAGAGAATATGTAAGTAATATGGACCATATGTGTGATTATACCAACTATCATGTGACATATCCTATTAATTATTAACAGCGGTTAACTCATGATGACCACGTCTTAATTAAATAAAAACGAAAGTGACCACATCTTAATTAAATAAAAACGAAAGAGACCATATCTTATGCTTCTTGAAATATGTGACAAAAGTGGACAAAACATAAACGTAAGAGATTTTCCATGTAGTTAACATTCAATCGAGTCGAGTTAAAAAAATTCAAGTTATTCGAGTTGACGAGTCCTATTTTACAACTCGGAGTTGACTTGAAATTTTTTCAAGTAGAGTCAAGTCAAGTCTATTTTTCGAGTTTTTGTTTAAATTTAATTATAAATATATTATAACATTATTTAATTCTAATGTAAGTAACTTTCTACAACTATATATACAATACAAATAAATTTCTTCATATTTGATATACATCTATCATACAAAGTAGAATGACTCAATTTAAACTTGAAAATAAATTCACTAATTACTAAAATTTTCGAGTTGTATTTTATAACTCGATTTGAACTTGAAATTTTTTCGAGTCGAGTCGAATTTATGAAATTATAACTCGAAGTCAATGCGAGGAGAAAAAATCGATTTTTCAAGTCAGATTTTGCTCTCCCTAATTTTTGGTGCCCTAAATTGACTCATTATTTTCTTTTCAATTCAGTTTAATACTTGTAGTTAATTATATTACATTTCAAAAATAGTTGCCTAAGTTCGTCCGACCTAGTGAAGGTAAATACAAAATGATTTAATTTAAGCATAGAAGTAGCGTCGAGGAAGAGAAGTCACGAAATCGAAGCCGGAGGTTATAAATGTTGGCTGGGCACTATTTTGAGGGAAATAGCTTGATAGAAAGTATGTGTTGATATAATAAATCGCCGACAAATAGCTTTTACTACTCTACAAACTGGAAAAGGAGCAGTGTGTTGAAATAAGGTTGGCATAAATATGCAAAACTTATGGTGCTTGATTTGACTTCAAAAATCGTATTATGATTGCACTGAGCCTGGTTCCTAGATTCATCCCCTCAACTGTTTTATTCTTTCAGTGAACAGAGGAAAAACATTCAGAAAACATGGAACAGTAACGATACCCAGATCTTAGTTATAGTTCTAATCAATTCAACATGCACGGGTCGCCCATACGTTTCACACTTCATTCCATCCACGGATGAGATTGAAAAACGTTTGATCAGATATTCAATCTACATAACATTATCCACAGAAAGAATCTCCATATCATATGACAACTGTCCACCCACCACGATACAATCTCGATATAAAGAGGGATTGGTGGTGCTAGAAATTTTCAATTGTAAGTATTTAAATATTTAAGAACCCAAGCGAAAGCTCAACAAGATTCCGTAATTTCACAGTGCAATAAGTCAAATTTCCTACATAAATAATACTTGCTTAAAGTTTACCCTAAAATTAACGATATCAACTTTTAATTTTCATTATAAACCTACATTCCATAACAGGGATTACAAATCACACAGGAAACAAACCGACCCAGATAATACCATCCAGTAATCCCAGTACAAGCTAATCCTAAGCTCAGACATTCTTGTTAAACTGACTTAAAATCCGCGAACGCCCTCCGATTCCCAAGTTATCTAACCACCAAACCCGTACAAAGTCCTACCCTGCCTCTTCAGTGCATAGACCACATCCATGGCAGTCACAGTCTTCCTCCTCGCATGTTCGGTGTAGGTAACAGCATCGCGAATCACGTTCTCCAAGAAGATCTTCAAAACCCCACGGGTTTCCTCATAGATTAGACCGCTGATACGCTTCACTCCTCCTCGACGAGCCAAGCGCCGAATTGCCGGCTTCGTGATACCCTGGATGTTATCTCGGAGGACCTTACGATGTCGCTTTGCTCCTCCCTTGCCCAATCCCTTGCCTCCCTTTCCTCTTCCCGACATCTTCAAATCTTGAACCTGTGTGTGTTTATAGCTTAGGCTGATTTTAGAGATTAGATATGAGTACGTATTCTAGCCTAATATGATGGAGTATTTATGGAAGAAGTTGTTAGGGATAGTGATCCGTGATGTGTCTTCACTATGGATTACAGCCGTTGACAAGATATAACTGAGAGTTGAGATGAGGAGAAGCATCGACGCGGATCGCTGATGTCGATTGTTTTAGCGGTTACTTTGAAGCGCGTTTTATGATTTGTGTTTCTTTTGTGAGCTGAAAAATGAAAACTCGAGATCGGTTTTTTTTTTTTTTTGAGCGTCAACCAGCGCACCATTATTTGCCAATTGTCAGCCCAACAAGAAAGCCCTTGTTAATAGTTTTGGGCCCAAGATATCGATTTACGATCCGTTTAATTATTTAGTACGTCGTCGTTTTGCTTTCTTCATAAATACACCCAAAGCGGAAGAGCCCTCATTGTCTTCATCTCTATACCCTACACCAAAAACCCTTACCTTTTAATCTGTCTGTTTGAAAAGCTATGGGGTTTTTCGATATTAATATCCCCTACGCCGATTCCACGCCGGCCAACAAAGCGAACATCGCCGCAAAATCCACCCGCATTAAAATCGTGATCAAAGCGATGGAGATGGGTTATACGGGAATCGCATACAACCGTACGATAAGGGGAGTCATGTCTGATCGCGACCGTTGTTCAATCCCTCTCCTCAGTCTGTCCTCTCTCCTCAATATCGCCCCTTTTCTGTCCTCTTCCGTTAACTTCCACCGAGATCTCCTCGGGGTCCCTCGCTCCTCTCCTTTCCGCCAGTACACGCGCCTCACCATCTGTATCGACACTGCATCGCAGTCGCAAGCTTTAAATTCGGGAAATCCGGTATTGAAGACGTATGACATTGTTGCCGTTAGGCCGCTGAACCAAAATGCTTTTGATCATGCCTGCGAAAAATCCGAGGTCATTAATTAATTTGAATTTTAATCGAGTGACAATTGGAGATACGTGTTTTAATCTTCTATTTATTTATTTATTTTATGATATAGGTGGATATAATTTCAATTGATTTCTCGGATAAGTTGCCGTTTCGATTGAAATTGCCCATGATTAAAGCTGCTATTAAGGTTTGTTGTAGACTTGATTTCTATTTTCTTTCAATATGGAAATATTGATTTGTTTTGATGGATAATTTCTTTTTATTTTTGGGTCTCACAGCGTGGGATTTATTTTGAAATTACATATTCTGATCTTATTGTGGACGTTCAGCAAAGGAGGCAAATGATATCCAATGCTAAGGTGAGGAATCCAGAGCTTGTTGCATCCCCCCCCCCCCCTTGAAAATTTGGATTTTATTATTATTTTCCCTGATAATTGATGTGTTTTAGCCCGTTACAAAATTATAAATTCATAGATGATGAAATGCAATCAACTAGGCTAAATATGGATATTAGGTTATGGTTATTTAGTTGCTTTCTAAGATGCAATTTTGGTTGTTCATCGTAGATGTGTTTTAGCCCATTACTAAAATATAAATTTCGGATGTTGTCAATGTGAACTAATTATCTGAAGCATACTGTCCCAGTTGCTGCTGGATTGGACTCGAGGAAAAAATATCATATTTTCTAGTGCTGCGCCTTCTGTTTGTGAAGTTAGAGGGCCAAATGATGTTGCAAACTTAGCATCTTTGCTTGGCCTCTCCATGGAACGAGCTAAAGCAGCTATTTCCAAAAATTGTAGGTATGCTAATTAGCAAAACTTTGTTGTTTTAGGGCTTTAGTTAATGTTTCATTCTATGCGGAACTCCTATTGTTTCCTCTTTCAGGAGTCTTTTGACTAAAGCGTTGAGAAGAAAACACTTTTTCAAGGAGGTTATCAGAGTTGAAGCAGTGTCATCTAGTCAGCCATCTGACTCTGAAGCACCTTGGTCTGCAGACTGGCTTAAGTGGGATCCCATCTCTAGTGGTGAAGGCGATTTATTGCTGGATGACATGGCAAAGTCTTTTGCCTCCAATAACGTATCTAGAACTGTAAAAGTGATTGATTTTGATTCTATTATTGACAAGATGCCATCTCATGGTTTCCAAGTTAAGGATATGATATCTGGAACTGAAACTTCCTTCCGGTCACCGGAAAAAGTCAAAAGCTTTATTGACAGAGGTGATGCTTCATTAGATAATACATTTTCAAAACATCTAACCTCTGTATTTGGGTCTCAAGAGGTAGACCTTGCAAGTAATGCTAGAAAAACTTCTACAGGTTCTGAGGAAGTGATGATTAACACAGTAACAACTGAGGAAGAACTAGAGAGTTATAATGCCTCAAATGTAGTATTTGCCTCTGTTGAAACCGAAAACCAAAACCACTGTCTGTTCCCAGAAAAGCACAATGAGCAAAATGTTGTGGTACTAGATGAGAATGTGAGCAACTGTGTAAATGCTGTAATAAGAAATGAGAATGTCGTATCCCATCAGACATCGGCCATGGACATTGAACTGGGTGCAGCTGCTTTGGAGATTTCTCCTCCATCTGAAAACAATAGTTTACCTCCTACTCAGGGTGGGGAATGTAATAGTTCTAAAGTTTCTCATGTAGATTTAGGTGCCGAGACTGTTAAGGTGGATGATATTGCAGTTGATATGGATATGGAAGACCACGAGAATGCGCCATTGTCTTTGAATAATATGGCTTTGCTTGAAAACATCTCAGAAAGGATATCATTAAGGGCTTTTGAAGATGATGCAGGTACTGCTGATCAAATTTCACTTCAGCAGTGTGACAGTGAGATGAGGGTTACAAATGACTCCTGGGTGGCAAACCATGAAAACCAAGTCTTGGTGGAAGGGCAAAAGCTTGCAGAAGGTGATGGCAAAATGAAAGATCTTGCATCTGTCTTAAACGATGAGTCTCTGCCTGAAGATGTCATTGAAAGTGAATCAACCAAAGTAGTTCATAATTCATTTCCCAAGTCCAATCCAAAGATGAAAACAAAAGGCATCTCTTCTTCCATAATTAATGAGGTCCGAGAGGTGGCACTGGAAATGAAAGAGCATGGAGAAGATGGTAGCAAAACTAAAGATCCTACTCCAGTTCAGCGAATATCAGGTATTAATATCAATATATGAAAGTGAGATGGCTTTGGGTTTCTGTGTGTTGGCTTGTTTTCTTTTTTTCCCAATCAACATGCTTTGCTTCTCCTGATATGACATGAAGTTGCCTATGAAATGCAGGAAAATCAAGAAGAAGACATGGGAATCCTCGTCAAGCACCCTCATTTCCTTTACGGCTTAGCTTATATCCTGTATCTTTCAAGAGGCGAACAACTCAAAAATCAGAGCGCAGGGTGAAGATGACTGAACTTTAATTATGCGATTACATGGTTCAACTCTTAAGATTTTGTTTATAGACTACTGTAATCCAAATAGCTGGAAAATTTTCATTTTTAATTGGATAAAACATGAAACTATGAATTCCGCATATGAAAAAAAAAGGGAAATCAGGTATAATTATGGCCATTGTCTTTGAATTGTTGGTTACTTGTAGAATTTTCCAGGGTAATTCGTAAGAGAGATCTATAATCGAGCCCTTTTGAAGGGTGAATGAATTGAATCCTGTCAATTGGGAGAATGGGCCTCAAACCTTTAAGATTGAGAATATGGATTTGAATTTTGATTTTTGATTTTTTTTTGGTATGATTTCAAGTTTCAACCAGTAGTTTGGAAATCCATTTGTTCAGATATGTTGTTCTTTTTCGCATCTTATGTTAAATCATTCAATGAAGACTAAAGGCTACCCAGTTTGCATTGGGCAAACGAGTATCTAATTTTCCATTCAAAGAGAGAGGAAGACAATATTAGCTCCTAATTTCAGCTAATGTCATGGTGCCACTCAATATTTTTAGCTTGTTGAGAATGTGAACAGTTAACATCAGTTAGTGAATGTGGCAGTTTATGTCCAAAAAGCGGCTAATCATCACTTGCTTAGACTCTAAATCAATTCCTACGGTGGCTAGCTTCTTCCCAAGCGCATGGGATTTCACAGTATTACCCTCATTTTCCTGGCATTATACAACTTACCTTCCTGAGATGAACGTTACTATCATAGGAATCAACTAAATTAAAGTTTAATTTTAAACAAAAGAGAAAACACATCACTTTTTCCCTCAATCTGCAATCCCCAAAAACTCCGATGTTCCCCCTTTGTAGCGTTCTTTAATGTCCATTCACGTATATTCAAAGAAGGTACTTTGGTGAATCTGAAGGGGAAATAAAAAGAAAGGCCCAAGAGTTTTATACTGCTTGTTTATTATACTTGGGACAATGGAAGCCTTGGATTCTTGGTAACTTTATATTTTCAACGTCCTTTCCTAATGCAAAGGTCGTATTCACAAACTTAGTGGAAAGACCACAGCCGCTTCCAGGGCACGACAAACAAAATAAAATCGCCGCCCTTCCATCGCTGTTCCCTCCAACAAGAGTAATAGCCTTTAACTAAAGACAGATCTATGTTCAGATTCTCATAAAACACATCATTATCAACCAACAAGAGTTATGAAAATCATTAGCATGACAAACCATATCATATTTTATATTACTTTTTCTCTGCTTTCTGATTACATCAATATATAGGTAAGTTTTGAAGGAAAAAAAAACTGAAGAAACAATCTGGAAAATGCCTGCAAGCAAAAAGACCCAAAAATTTTGTTGGGTTATATGAATGAAGCCAATAGTGTTCCTTTTTATGTTTTTCCTTTGCAGATTGGTAATCTTCTTGGAGAATTTCTTCAGTTATATGATTACTTGGAGGGTTTTCTCAGAGAATGAAAAATCTTTAAAAGATCCTTATCTCATATTTATAGTCAAAATGAAATAGTTTTCCCCATTGGGAACATGTAAGCTGCACCTGAAATTGTCTCTATCCTTATTCAGTGAATTTCGTGATCAACTAGAGTACTGAAAATATCAGTTCATACACCTGTTTTTTCCCCCTTTATGGTGCATCTATCTTTTGATAAGTTATTCAGGTTTGAATGAATGTCAAATAAATAAATTCAATTACTAATTTATAAAGCTCATGCAATCTTGGGAATCCTTGGAATTCCATATTATCATAATGAACACTGTTATCGTTGATATATACAAAAGCCACCTATTTAACGCTGAAAGAGATTTGACATTACAACAACAACCAAAAACTACTAAGGAAAACAAGCAAAATTCTAAAATGTTCCACAATAATATATCGAAGAGTGGCAACTGATGATCCATTTTAACTAAGGAATAATCAGATTTGCGGTGAGTGAATCAAGAAAATAACTCCAATTCTTATCTTCTTCTTGATCTTCCCCTCCACCTACATGGTGGCCCCATTCAACTTGAGGACCAATCTTTTCAATTTCTTCATTTCTTGCAAAACGTCCTCGGATTCTTGGCCTGCTGTCTGCCAATGTTTTCCTACATGTATACTGATCACAAAATATCTAACATGTAAGGTAACTAATTAACCTGCAACATATCACTTGCTCGTGTCTTTGAAAAGATAATGTATTTCTCTTGATCTTATAAATTACAGTACGTGAAAAATGAATGCATGTATGCGTAAACTGATCAACATATTAACGCATGCATCATTCGACCATATGTGTATACGGAAAATTTTCGAGTTAGATTTCTTCTTCTATTCAAATAATTACTTACAAATGCGTGAAATGAGAATATAAGATGACTGCATGTAACATGAAAGTGACAGAAGTAGTTAATTTTTCATGAAAAATAAGGCATATTATAATGAAGAGTTAAGACCTTGATCTTCTTGGTGAAGTTCCTAAGGTTTCTTTTGGATCGGTATCTCTCAATCCTTTCTTTCTTTTCTTCAGGACTGTAGCGGTGAGCTCTGCACATTCCTTCAATTATGGCATTCGCATTACTCTCATCAGACAATGGGCTCTCCGACCTCCGGCGACCACTCTGCCACCCCTATCCCCACCCATTAACCAAATTCAAGTTAAATCAAAATCATGTTTTAAAGTGTTAATTTGCGCTTTCAGCATGGCTACCATAAAATAATTACCTGGTCCAGATCACCGGTGCTAAAAGCTCTTCTCACCGGCCCGGAGTCTGAGTCAATAAACTCGTTAAGGCTTGAAGCAAAGTGACAATAGAGACCGTTGTTTTGAAGGGAATGGCTGCTGACGCTCCTCTGCACGAAACTCTGTTTCTGAGTGCAGCTACTCGGTAACGAAGTCGGCGAGTTGTAATTTCCGTTGCTGCTGCCACTCAACAAGTCGTATGACCCGGTCACAGTGAGTTGAGTTAGCGGACATAACGGGAAGTTTAACGGCGACGTCATGACGTCGTGAGTGTCGCCGGGAAACTCGGAGGAGGAACGTGGGATTGTTGGGTGTCCGAACATAGAGCGCGATGGATACATAATTGACTTCATATTGAGTTTGTTTTAATCTACAAATATAGTTTCTTCTTAATGGCCTAAAGAGGTGAAGAAAGGAGAGGAGATGGAGAGACGAGAAGCCGCAATGCTGTTATTTATAACAACGCCAAGAGAGCTGCATTAGGCTAACAATGATGGTGACGTCAGCTTCTCAGAGTTCGGCATTGACTCTTCTGATTAGAAATATACTCCTATATTTTTGACTTGATTAGTGCTCGGGTCTACCTCTTTTGTATGACCTAAACTTCAATTCATTATTACAGTTTTCAACCCTCTTTCCCCAATTTTTACACTTGTGCTAAGCAGAGGAGAGATGACTAACTGATCTTTTAAATTTCTAAATTGACCCATAATCCTTTCTCTAATTTCAACTTTAATGTCTTATTTTTCTTAAATAGTTTTTTAATAGTAAACTAATGATCAACATTTGAATACAAAAGAATCACACATATAACAAAATTTAATCAAACACTAAAATGTAAAACATATTAACAAATATCGTATTTAGTAATAAGAGATATTACATTATTAAACAGAGATCAGATTTGTGTTCGAACCTCATATACAATATTATTAAACAGAGTGGCTATAACCCCTAAACATAAATCATATAAAAAATAGCAACAATAAAAGAAATAAAAATATGAAAAATGATGCCCGAAATCAGAAATGGGCTTAAAGAAAATAAATAAAAAGGGGTACCCCACAGGGCCCACACCACTTGAAGAGAAATGGACTTAAAAAGTATTTTACAAAGCAAAACCCATGTGATAAACATATAGTTAGAAATTTTGTTAATTATTTCATAATAGGCTAGCCAGGTGTTCTTTATTACTATATATTTCCGTATATTTATTATGGTAATTATGATTTTTTGGATCAATTATTGCAATTAATTAATTATGATATATCATCATCATCAATTTTGGGAGGATTAGACCAGTTTGATTTGGATTTTAAATTAAATAAAAAATATGGTGTCGATGAGCTTCACATCGCACATAACAAAAGAAAATTAATGCAAAACAACAGATCAAGACATGGACGGAGCTAGAAAAAAAAATATACTCAGAGACAAAAGTAGGAAGATGTCATTTTTGTTGCACTTGTCAAAACTTTTAGGAAAGCCAAAAAAGTAGGGCGTGGGATAATTTAGCCAGAGAGTGCTCGTGTTTGTGTGGCCAAGCAGAAAAAAATCTAGTGATAGACACAGACCAAACCAATATGTCAGTTCTTAGCTAGTCTTATGGTTTGATTTTCAACAACTAATGGAAGGTACAAACTTTAATAAAAAGCATTAGTAGGAGAAAAGTGAGTTTCAAATCATCTTAACTGAAAGTTTGCCGGTTTAGGTCTCTGACTCTGAAACTTCTTCGATCCCCACATAATTAAAATGAGGGGGAGGGGGTTGAGAAACAACTTTGATCTTACCCTTCAGAACTCACCAACAGTCTTGCAAATGATACATCAAAGAGTCATTTCCCAGTAACATCAGCAGTCAAAGTTTGTCACATTCATTATTCAGTCTTGAAAGAAGATTTGTTGGTGGGACTGCTTGGGAGGAGGCTGACCAATGGAGAAAAGAGTGCGTAGCCCTTTTGAGATAAGGTTCAGCACGCATTATAGTCCTTGTGCGTATATATATTCTTGCAAAGCCCGGGAAAAAGATTAATACAACTTCATGGCCATAACATAGTCAACTGCATCAGCTCACTCTTCTTTTAGTTGGTTAGGTTTCTAATCATGGAACGTCGTTGAAATTGAAAAAGTTTACCCTAAAGCTAGCTTGAACCACAAGAATCAAGATTGTCTTTCTTGCAGCTCTTTCCGCGATGAATGGTGATTGAAGATGTATTGAAAAACATTAAAAAGAAGCCATGCATTTTTATTTATGTGGTATGCTGTCGTAGAAACTGTGCCTTGACTTTGGCAATAGAATTTGGAGTTTGATTGTTAGCTTCAATGTTCCTAATAACAGAAAGAAACAAATCATTCCTCAGCTTTGGTTGCTTCTTTTGCTGATTGCGGGCTTCAGAAAAGCCAATCATCTGGGCCCAGATCTTGCCCACGAGCTCTACTGAAACT